TGTGAGGAGCTGCACATCTTTTATGCAAGTGGGGGATGAGATGCCTAGGACCGCCCTGGTCTGATCTGGATTGGCCTCAATATCGCGTTGTGTTACCATGTAATCTAAAAATTTGCCAGATAAGACGCCGAATGAGCAGTTGGCTGGATTCAACTTCATATTGTATTTTTGCATCACCTTCAAAGCTTGTTGAAGGTGGTCGAGGTGTTGCTTGGTGATTAAAGACTTTACTAGCATATCATCGATGTATACTTCCATGAAGTTCCCTAGTAGGTTGGAGAACATTTTATTCACAAGTTACTGGTAGGTGGCACCAGTATTCTGTAGATCGAACGAATCCACTTTGTAGCAATAATTGTCTCATTTGGTGACGAAGGTGGTCTTCTCCTAGTCGTCCGGGTGCATCAATATCTGGTTGTAGCCTGAAAAGAGGTCCATGAAGTTTAGTATCTCATGCCCGACGGTGACCTCCACTAACATATCTATGTAGGAAAGTGGGAATGAGTCCTTGGAGCAAGCTTTGTTTAGGTTAGTAAAGTCAATACAAACTATTCACTTCTCATTTTTCTTCTTTACTACCACTACATTCGCCAACCAATCTAGGTAATAGACTTCCCGAACCGAGCCATTGCTAAGAAGGTTTTCCTTCTCCTTATTAATCACATTATTTCTCTTGGAAGCAAACCTTCTTCTCTTTAGTCTTATGGGGGGGTTAGTCCAAGTAGGCGTTTAGTCGATGCATTATACCTAAGACCAAGTGAAACAATGTTAGTTCTCCTTGACGAAATCGATGAGCTTTCCTCGGATGTTAGGTGAAAGTTGGGCTCCAACTTGTGTCTTCCAGTCTAGGTAGTCTGGGTGAATTTGGACCTTATCTAGCTCCTCCATAGCTGGTTGGTCCGACTCAGCTCTTCTAGCCAGATGGGTTTGCAATTACTACATGGTGCTTGACTTTGTCTTAAAGGCATTCTGATAACAATCTTTGGAGGTCTTCTGATATCCCTTTATCTTTGATGCCCCACTTGGTAGGGATCTGGAGAGTATGGTAGAAAGTGGAAGGGATAGCCATATGTCGTGAATCCATGGTCGACCAAGGATCATGTTGTAAAGGGAGGGGGCATCTAAAATCATGAAGGTGGTCTGATGATTGATCACTTTGGCGTAGACTAACAGAGCAATCTCTCCAATAGTGTACTTTTGTTCTGAGCTGAACCCCACAAGGAGAGTCGAGCGACGATTGATTCTAGATTCATCTAGTCGCATGACAATGAATGCTTCAAGGAACATGATGTTTACTGAGGAGCCACGATCTACCAGGATTCTCCTGACAATGATGTTGGCGATCTAGAGAGTAATACAAGTGCGTGGTGGTGGGGATTCAAGAGCATCGCTGCTTCATTGTCTATGAACTCTATAGTCAAGTTGGTGGCTTTCTATAGTGTCAGTCTAGAATGTTGGAGCTGTGGGTTAGCTATGGCTCGAGAGTGGCGTTTTGTTAATGAGTAGCTCACCCCACTCACTTCTAATCTGCTTGAAATAACACCACACATTCCTTCTGTCGGTGGAGCTTTTGGTAGAGGATTGATTTGGTGATGCCTGTATGCCATGGTGTTTTTCTCTTTATCTATCAAATATTCATGGAGGTAACCCCTTTTTAGCAGTTTAGCTACCTCGAGGCGAAGGGCGATATAGTTGGCAGTAACGTGGCCATGGTCCCCATGAAATTCACACCATTTGGTGGTGTCTCGCTTCGCTCCAAGATGTTTCAATTTTGTTAGCCATCTGACTACATTCTCTATCTCTTTCATCATGGCTACTATTTCCACTGGCTCAATGTTTAGGTTGTAATTAGGTATCTTGTACCTGAGCCGTGTGTTGGAGTTACCCTCATTGTGCCAAGCCAGATGGTGCTTTAGTTGCCACTTATTGTCATGTACCAAAACTCTTCTTATCAGATACGACTCGACTGGTTTTGTGTTGTGGCTTCTGTTAGGGTGACAAGAATGGCGATCATCATAGGCGTTCTGCTTGACTTTGTGAACTTCTTCTTCTTCCCACCTTATTTCAATCCAAGTGTGGGCCAATACATCTTCCATGGTGTTGCAATTAAACTTTGTGAGTTCCTTGTATAGCTCACCGTCCGGGAGGGACCTTTCCTAAAGGCATCAACTGCGCGGTCTCTTGGTTGTAATAAGGGATCGAGACATTCTCTCGGTTGAAGCGTCCCACATAGTTTTGAAGTGGCTCATTGCGATGTTGTCAGATCTAGTAAAGTTCGTCGGATAGTTTTTCCATCTTTTTACTACTGGCGAATTGCTCCACGAAGGTGCTATGAGTTGTGCAAAAGATGTAATGGAGTGATTGAGGAGGTTTGTGTACCAGTGGAGTGTTGGTCCTACTAGACTGGAGTCGAATCTCTTACACATGCATGTCTCACGAAGGTCTCTCGTTATGGCGGTAGCGAACATTCTTTGTTTGTAGGAGGCTATATGGTCGTCTGGGTCTGTGGTTCTGTCATACAACTTGATGTTGGAGAAGGTGAATTTGCAGGGCATATCTGTGAGGGTGATGTTCTCTACAAATGGTGACTCTGCGTAGCTTTGGGGTTGGCTCTTTTTTAGGGGTGTTGGTACACCTAAGATGCGCTGGATCATGGCTTCTGTCTCGACTAGCCGCTTGGTTAGTGTTTGTTCAAAGGTTGTGGTCATAGGTGCATATAGGTTGTTTAGGAATTAGGGAAACACTCTAGGGTTGACATGTATCGTCAAGCCATATGGAAAGCTTTGCTGGCCTATGTCAGTCTCTAGGTGCATAGGATGTGTTTGGTGGGCGAGAGTTGCGCTCAGCAGGGGGGATAAGGTGGCTTGTGTAAGTGTTTCAGAGGCTGAGTGGGTGATGGGTGGAATGGTGATGGCTTGGGTCGGCTCGACCATTGGCATAGTTATGGTTGGAGTTGCAAAATAAGGGTGATTAGCAGAAACACCATTATCCAGAGTCAAGAAGAGTTGTCTAGGTTGAATGGGGTGCTAAGAAGAAGATGCATGATGCTATTTAAAAAACCAATCTAAAGAATAAAACTGGGTTACCTTATCTTGGAGTGCTTGGTTCTCCATGCGGATGGCAGCATTCTGAGCCTCCAAGGCCTAATATTTGTTGTTGTTTTCTTCCACCAGTGTGGTGAGAGCTATAATCTGTGCTATGACATTGGGCGCTGGAGTCTCTTTGTCGTTAGTCATGATAGCAGAACAGGGGAGGAGGAGCAACCAAAGTAGGTTGTTTTGGATCGGAATATTGCCAAGGCCCCACAGTGGGTGCCAAATTATAAACGATAAAGTCTACAATTAAACTCTTAAATACAAGATCTTGTAATGTGAGCCATTGACAATCTTGATGGACCTGCGAAGGGGGCTTTAGTAATGTCTAGATGTCGTCGGAATATGCTAAGAGCTTAGGAGTGAGAATATTGGAACTTAGGGGTGATTTCTGAATCAATAATGAAATGGTTTGCCTCTATTTATATAGTGAACCCAAGAGGTTCGAATTCTAGTAGGACTCTAAATCTTACTTAGTATTGGAGTTCTCCTTTTGGATGGAGATTGGATTTCCTACCCTTATCGGTTCAAGTTTTCCTCTTTGGATAAGATTTGGGATCTTGTTAAAAGAGGAAATTGATTAAGACTTCGGTTCTTGTTGTGGATTGCTATGGGCGAATGGGTCGGACCCAATTCAGCTTAACTCGTAGAGTAGCCCAACTCTTTGAGTAGACAACTCACAAGATAGTTTAAGAGTGGGCTCAATTGAAATTGGGTTAAGGCCTTTGGGCCGTGACATTGTTATTTTGTTATTAGATTTCGTCAAGCCTAATACGATTTTTGACCCATACAATAAAATGTTTCAAAGGCTACCTTTTCCCGACTATGATAATAATCCAACTCATATACATTTAGAGCGAGCTTTAAACACTAGATTAATGGACATATAAAGAACACTAATACTATCACAAAATAATTGCGGTGGCTACCGTCAGTTGCTTCTTTGAGCACTGAGAGATACAACGAGCGCCAAGAAAGACACAAAAACAAGTTATTCTTCATCTTGTAGTGGGACACCTGGCCAATCAACATCGCTAATGGCATAGAGAATAGTAGGACTTTGATCGAGATAACGTACATAAATATTTTTAGTAACCACAACAATTTCATTAGGGGACAGCTAGCTTCTGAGACTATTCTCATTGTCAGAAGTATCAGAATCAGAGTTTAACTTGAGAGAATTGGAAGCGGCTGTAGTCAGGGCAGGTTGAGGTTTACTAGGGGAGGAATTTCTTTTTATTTTGAGAGAAACGAAGGCATTCTCTTGTCATCTTCTCTCATACTTTCAGCATATTTACAGATGTTAAAACCAAAGTTATCATTTACGCCAAATGCAGTCGTCAACTTATTCTGGATAAACAAATTTTACTTTGTCGAAACATGGATTGTTTCTCGTGTTACCTTTTCCGAAGGATGTGCTGGAATTTAGCAAGAAATGTGTATTAGAATTACTTATGTCGAGCTGCCATATAAGGATTAAGATAAGTCCTATAAAATAGTTCATTTGGTTTATCATATCGGTAGAGATTACGAGAGTTAGAGAGGGATTTTAGAGTGAGAAAAATATTGTAAGTGTCTTATCTCTTAAGCTCGTATTTTTTCAAAAAGTTCTGATGAGAATTCTTCAGGTTTTGATGTAACTTTCTTTTAGTGAATGATCTTCAATGGCTTCTCCTTTCCAGAGGATGTAGGAATAAATAAATCTTGATTTAAGTATATAGAAACCAAATAGAACTGCTTAACCTTAACGGTACATAAGACTCTTTCCTAGTTTTAATCTGATTAGAAATCCTTATTATCATCTTTCTATATTGAAGTCTATAAATATTCCTCATCATCAATCTCATATTTCCATCTTTAATTTAAACTCTATTCCTATCTTTAATTCTCTCATTTAGCAATCAAACAATGGCAAACCAGCAAGAATCAGAAAATTCTACCGTCATGGACTATCCCGTTAACCCCAAAAAACCTCAACCCCTCCTTCCTGTCTCTTGGCCACGATCAACAGCTGCCACCACCGCCACAGACCACTCAAAGCACAACTGCCCAGAAGACCAGAACGCAAACAATAACAAGAGGTGGAAAGACTTGAGCTGCAAGAAAAAGGTTGTGATTGTAGCTTCCTCAGTCGGACTTCTACTGCTTGCTTCCATTCTTGTCTATTTTGCAATCTTTATACATGGAAGATTTCATCCACCATCGTTTAAGGTTGATTCACTCCGTGTAACTCCCTTCGATATCTCTTCTTCTCAATTAACAACCAATTGGGACATAAATTTCTCTATTACAAATCCTAATCATCAACCACTCAGGCTATTTTACAGAGATGTCAAGGTTTCAGTTTTTTACGAGGACAAAAACATCTCGTCCGCGGAAATCAAGCCCTTCTTTTTAAATCTAAATGGGAAGCCAATATTTGGTTACTCAAAGAGTATTGTCAATGGCTCGATGGAACAAGATTTTGTTGCAAATTGGTCAAGTGATGGCCTGATTTTGCAAGATTCAGTGATAGATTTGTCAAGCAGCCCAGTAAAATTCACTCTCACAGTGGATGCAACAGTTTTTGTTAATCCCCAAACACCAAAAGAATTAGAAATTATTCCGGTGACGGTCTCATGTGAAGATATCAAGGTTGAATTTTCATCTGATTCAAAGAGTTCTGCCTGGACGATGTTGAATCATACAAACAAATGCAAATCTAAATGGGTTCCAGATAGATTCTTATATTGATTAATTTAGGAAATTGTAGGGAGATTTTTAATTTTTAATTTTGGTAATGTATTTAGTTTTGCTTAGTTCAAATTATAAATATTGATGCCTTAAATGATTCATATGATTATTTTAAACAAGTTTTACAATTGCTTAGTCCTCATAATATTTTACATATTGTAATTACGATAAATAAATCTTGACTAAAGCTTTAGATACAAAATTAATTAAACTACTCCAACTTATTAAATTGGTATCAAACACTCTTTCTTGATTCTAATCCGATTAGAAATCATGTATGTAATCGTCCATGAAAGCTAACGATCTTTATGCAACAATTAATTTGCTGCCAATAGACAAATAATATAAATTTCATCATATTTTAATTTCTAAAAAAAAAGAGGTTAAGGTTGAATTTTCACATGATACTACTGAGACAATATTGGACCGTTCAAGCAAACGCAAGTCTAAATGGAATGCAATTCAGTTATATTACACTTATAATTGAATTAGGTAATTGTTGGAAATATCTGTATATGCTTCAATAAATCTTTATATACAAATATTAGATCTTTTTCCATCAAAGTTTTTATCAATCAGGGCAGCTACAACAATATTCAATCTTACAGGAGAAAACAATGGATCACTATAAAGATCTATTCACTAGAAACTCATGATAAGGTCACTATTTTCTTCTGAGATTGTTGTTCTTTATTGCTATATTGCTTTGAAAAAAATAAAAAAACAAAAACAAATTATACATTTGCCGTTATATTTGGCTATGTAGTTATGAAGGATGTGTACTTGACAAACCCTGCCGGTAATCAATCTGTTCAACTTTTGCCAGGGTGCGAAGAATACAAAAACGACAGTGTCGAGTGCTTCTTTTCTACTGCCTCTTTGAGTTTTCTTCCCAATGCAAATGACAGAGGCGGGGGCACAGCATTTCCAATCTGCCTATGCTCGTGTTGGATGTTGCCTGCAAATTTGTAGCAATCCGAGAAACCCTGCATGAACAAGAAGATGAGGAAACATTCAATGATAGCCATTCCAATGACCTCGCGAACAAGCTGGCACTGCAAATAACTCATCTTGATATTGAGAAGTTACTGCAGAACTCATGGTGTGTTTGAAACATCAGAAAGTTGAGTAGACTTACATGTGAACAAGCACATTCGCGTACTGTGAGTATTCTATCCTGATCCGGTTGAAAACACATTCCAACCTTGCCCATCGGTTGAGGATCAGTAATGGAGGTTGGAAAGTTTCCTTCCCAATCCAGCCTTCCGAATAGACCCTTCCATTGATTATGCCTTTTGGCTGTGTTTGGCAGGCACCAGGGTATTAAATCAACTACTTGTCCTGTGGACAACTGGACCTGCACGTAATAAGAAAGGAAAGAAAGCAAGTTTAAAATATTTCCTTACCAGTATTAAATAGTTCGACAAACAAGGAAAATTTCAATAGTTTTTCATCAGGAAGATCGCGCCAATCAGAACCAGGTCCTTTTGGAATTCTTTGACACCTAATGAAGTTCAGCTCATTCATTTCCTATGAAATTTGATCACTTAAGAGCAGCATATCCCCTCGAATTTTCTTTTGAAACCAAGAAACAGGTTCACCTGTGTACTGTGCAATAAAAACGAAAGGAATAAGAACTTAAGCAGATTGAGTAACAACAAAGAAGGAAACAATATGAGAGACAGTGAAGGAAATCCTACTTCCATTGTCGTTACAGAAGCCCCATTTTCAACAGCTGGGAGGTCTCCAATTGTATCTCTAACAGTTATTGAACGGAAAGGAGCTCCTGTAGCTGTACTTCGAACAGCAGCATATTGGGAATTTCCAGATAATTTGACCTTAAGCTCAGGACCAGCAAAGACATGCATTGGTTCAGGCCATTCAGGGAGTGTTTCCTCAGGTGATGCTGCCCATATAAGTGCACGTTTACAAGATTGAGAGACACCATAGGCTCCAGCTTCCAATATACCAAACCTCACCTACGACAATTCAAATTTATAAAACCAATTGAAGAAATGTTGTCATTTTACATAAATAGATTCAAAAATCTCTTATACATAGCAGTGGATACTAACAACCATGAAATCCAGGCCACCACAAAACGAGAATAAACAGCAATTTTATGTTTTACTAAAGTTGCAATAAATTCACTGAGCTAATATTGTTCACAGAGACAGTTAATTTCACCTGCAGACCAAATATCCGTAATTTCCATGTCAAACTTACTCTGTAAGGAAAATAATCAAATATTTCATTGACACAGATAAGCAACAAAAAAAACTGCTTTTACCTGATAACCCATCTTTAGAAGAGAAGCTAGAGTTAATCGAAACGTTTGTCCTTTGTTGAATGACACAAAGTTCCTCACATTCTCCAGAAGGAAAAATCTAGGGCGGAAGTAATCAGCAAATGATAAGTATGCCAAGATCATCTCACATTGAACTTTACTCCAAAGGCTTTGATTAAACCTATTCATTCCAGAAAACCCCCGTAGATGAGGAAGCAAAAAAAGGGAATGTTATATACTCCCCATTCCATAAGGTATAGTTTGAATTGCTCACAAATCAAATCCTAAAGAGAGACGTGAAGCTTGATATACCTGACAAGGAGGCCCTCCGTTGATAAATTCCACTTGTCCTGGTCTAGGCAAATTATTAATCTCTTTTTCATCAAGTTTTGCAGCTAACTCAGAAGCTTCAGGGGTTGAAATACAGTCATCCGCAACTCCACATGCTGACATGATAGCCCTGCATTTAATTCATTAATTTACTAAAGAGATAAGAGTTGACGGAGCAAGATTGACAAAAATCAATTAAACTTAAAGGGAGGAAATGTACAATAGAATCAAAGCCAAGGAAACTGAAAAATGGAGTCAAGGAAAGGTCTATTTAGTAGACTAAGGTAGGACCATGAACTAGATCTCAAATGAAAACACAAGGCATTATTTAAAAACACTTGATATGGAAGCGAGGATCCACCTTAGAATCACATTGCAGTTTTTAATGAACACAAAAGCCTCTGGATGATTAAGCTGAAATGTTTCTCCTGCAGGTTCTTCGTACTCTATAGCCCACCTGGTTTGTGACACACCTGCAAGTATGCAATAGATATATTGTCAGTCATTAAGCACTTCATATTAGAGCTGAGTTCAGCTCACTTGCTGATGAAAACATATTTAAACACTTGCCTGCTCGTTGTAAGCCATCTGATAAGCCACCACAACCAGCAAAAAAATCTAGGGTGGCTAGGCCCATATGCAGATCAACTGTTTGTTTGCCGAGGTCGTCATCTGGCTCTCCCTCTTTAGATTTCCCTTTTTTCTTTTGGTAAGCAGCGCTATCAACCAACCTTTCTTTTATCAAACTAAACTTGACATGAGCCGGCAACTGGAAATTAAACAGTAATCACAATTAATATAATAAGAACTCGCAGGTTAATAAGCATAATTCATCGTACAGGGGAAGGAAGGAAATATTATATGTACCTGCTTGATAGTTCCCTTATCAGGATCATACAAGTCTTCACCGAAAGAAGACATGCTCAACTTGACTATCCAAAGATGGAAGATCATGCTTCTTTACGGCTTGGCACTGGCCCTCTATTCCAATAACGGAAACCGTCAGCAATTGTTCACTGTAATAAACCTAAAAATTCAATACCAAGACACTCAACATGTTATGCAACAGAAACATAAACTCTAACGCTAGCTATTGAATATAATAATAACAGTAGTAAAGCATAAATAAATAGCCAAATTAGAATGCAAAATAAAGATACCGGAATTAACGAGGTTCGGTATTGAAACCTACGTCCTCGGGCGCTGCAAAAGAAAACTCCACTATCTCCAAAATATACAAACTTTTAGGCAATACAACAAATACCCAACAAAGGGGAGTACAACAAAACTTACAAACTAAAGGGTCCTTAAAGAAAGAACCCTAAACAAAAGAAGTATAATGGAATTACATCTTGGGATACAATTAACATTGATTAGGTCCTTTATATAGGCCCCAAAAGTTTCCCACTTTTCATTCCTTTTCAATGTGGGACAAACTAACTCATTTTGGCCTATTACATATAGTCCCTAAACCTTTCTCCATTATCACTTCTACCCCATGTGATTTTGCTAAAAGCCATTTTTCAACAAATCTCCACCTTGGCGAATTAGCAAATCTTCAAAGTTTTGTATTCTTCTGCCAAATTTTGCAACACCTTCAAAGCACCAAAGCACAGTCAAGCTCGCAGGATGTTGATCAAGTTCAAACATAAATGAACTTGACCCTTGTCACTACTGAAGTCAACATGTCTGTAGGATTATCTTCTGTGCCAATCTTCTGGAAAATCATTTTCCCATTTTAATATAATCCTACACATAACAACACCAATATCTATAGTACATAAAATATACTGTAGAAACCATTTCACACTTGCAAATGTCCTTTACCAGGATCATACATATGCCTGCTCACCATACTAACTGCTTTGAAATAACAGGTTGTGAACCCATGGCCCATCATACATTGATCAAATCGCTTGTACCACTGTCTTGGTGATTGCTTCAAACTATATAGCGATTTCTTCAATCTGCAAACCCAAGTTTTCTTTCCAGCAACCCTATATCATCTGGCTGAGTCTTGTAGATTTCCTCTTCCAAACTACATGTGAAAACGTGATTTTCACATCCAATTGAACAAGTTCAAGATTCATCTGAGCAACCAGGCCAACAAATTCTAATGGAGAATGCTTTACAGCTGGAGAAAATACCTCATTGAAATCAATTCCTTCCTTCTGAGCGTAGCCTTTCGCCACCAACCTTGCCTTGTATCGATGCTTTCAAATTCGGAAATCCTTCTTTCTTTGCATATACCCATTTGCATCCAATTGCCTTCTTATTCTTGGTAATTGAACAACATCCCAAGTTTCATTCTTATGGAGAGACTGCATCTCTCTTTCATGGCTTTCCTCCACTTACCATTTTCGGAACTGCTAGCTACTCATTATAAGTGGAAGGAACTTCACCATCTTTAATTGGGAGTGCATAGGCCACCTTATCAGCAAAACGAGCAGGCTTGCGAATTTCCCGTCTGGCCTATTAACAGCAATGGATTCTTGTTGACATTCTTGGGAAGAATCCTCTTCTTCATCTCCAATGAACTCCTCTATCATAGGAGTCTCATTTCCAGCTGGCTAACTGATGTTGTTTCAAACTCCACCTGCTGCTGAGTATGCTCCCCTGTTGGGCGAGTACTGAAAACCTTCATCTGGCTTCCTGTTTTCTTTCTAACATAGAAGACTCATCAAATGTCACATCCCTACTAAACAGTATTTTCTTTGAACTTGGACACCAAAGACGGTATCCTTTCACACCTGAGGTAATCCCCATAAATACTGCTTTCTTTGCTCTAGGATCTAACTTAGACTCTTTTACATGATATAACAGTGGAGCCAAAACATGTAAAGAGTCATAATCAGAAACAGGTTTTCCAGACCATACCTCAATCGGCGTCTTGCCTTCAATTGCAGTTGATGGTAGACGATTAATAGATGACACACATATATAACTGCTCAGCCCAAAACTCTTTGCCCAACCCAGAATTGGACAACATACACCGAACTTTCTCCAGTAGTTCGATTCATGCGTTCTGCCACCCCATTCTGCTGTGGTGTATTTCTCACTGTAAAGTGACGTAACTTCCTTCATCTTGGCAACTTTCAAAAACGGATCACTACGATACTCCCCACCATTATCTGTACGTAGCTGCTTAATCTTTCTGCCAGTCTGAGTCTCAATCATCTTTTTCCATTTAAGGAAAACACCAAGTACGTTATCTTTAGTTTTTATCACATACACCCAAACTCTCTAGAAAAATCATCTACAAAAGTGACAAAATAGTGCATACCTCCCAAAGATGTTGTTTTGGTAGGTCCCCACACATCAGAATGAACATAATCCAAAATACTCTTAGTATTATGGATTGCGTGCAGATTCGCTCTTTCTGTTTTCCCAGAACACAATGCTCACAGAAGTCCAGCTTACAGGTCTTTGCACCTTTCAATAGCCTTGATTCACCAAACTAAGTAAGGCTTTTTTACCTGCATGCCCCAAACGCATATGCCACAGCTTGAGCATTTCTGAATCTGCATCCTTCTGCACGACTGCAGCTGTCGTTTCAATAACTGTACTACCATTATGTAATACAAGTTGTTTCTCCTCGTGCCTTTCATTACCACAGAGTGCCTGAAGAAACTTTTAGAATTCCATCCGCATATTCACTGTGAAGCCTTTAGATTCCAAGGCCCCCAAGAGATGAGATTCTTTTTCAACTTCGGTACATACCGAACATCTGTCAGAGTTCTAGTTGAGCCATCATGATCTTCAACCGAATTGAACCTATCCCATTTGTTTTACAAGCATCATCATTGCCCATATAAACAACTCCATCATGTTCTTCAAAATTAAAGAACCAGTCCTGGTGAGGACACATATGATAGGTACTACCTGAATCCATAATCCACTCATTTGATCCAGAGGTGGTGGCAGGCTAACTAGACAGAAATCTGACTCATCCTCCTCACGCTCAAACGCAGGCATCAGAATAGCTTTGCCCTCTTTCTTTTGCAATTTCGGACAATATTTCTTCCAATGCCCTTTCTCACGACAAAAGGCACATTGATCCCTATTGAGTTTTCCCTTCGAACGAGATCTTCCTCTTCTCTCATTCTTACGACTCTGACTCCACCCTCCTGCTACAAGGGCTTCTGCTGACTCATCTCTATTCTCCTTCTGATCCTTCTTCTGAATTTCATGATTGGACAGAGCAGAACAAACTTCTTCAAAGGACAATTTTTCTTTCCCATGAAGAAGTGTAATACTAAGATAGTCCAACCATCTGGAAGAGATCCAATTAAACATAGCCTTATGCTCATCTTTGAATGTTTCATCCAAATTTAACAAATCAGTAATTAATATGTTAAATGTATCAATATGGCTACTGATATTCGTACCTGGTCTCAACTGAAGACTAAACAGTCTTTTCATCAAATAGAAGCCGATTCTCATTACTTCTCTTCATGTATTGTGTTTCCAGCGCCTTCCATAACTTATTGGCAGAAGTCTCTCATGAATGGATATTTTTGCTCTCTACAAAGACATGAGCGAATCATCCCACACGCTTTTACATTCAACCTCACCCAGTCTTTCTCATAGACATCTTCTGGTTTTTCCTCCTCCAGAACGATATCTAGATCCTGCTGATACAAGCTATCCATTACCTCACTCTGCCACAAGCCAAAATTATTTTGGCCATCAAATTTTTCAACATCATTTTTGCATTGAAACCGTTATCATCTTTACTGGAACGGATGGTAGTGCCGCGAACGGTGATGCCTCGGACGATGAATCCTCGGACAATGACGCCATTTATGCCTTACTCAACTGGCTTGGTAAACAAAGTTTCCAATAACCAAGCTCCACAAATTATTATATTCAATAGCTAACCAACAAATCACATAGCCCTAGTGTAGTAAGTGCTGAAAGATTAAATACGCACCAGAAAATTCCCAGGAAACACATGGAGGGGTCACAAATGTCCCACTTAAAATCCAGTCTCCTTAGACTTTTATCTTCTTTTGACAGAATTTCCTAGACATGCATATAACCATACAAATAGCTACTCACTGTCCTAAACCTAGGCTCTGATACCACTTGTTATGCAACAGAAACATAAACTCTAACGCTCTATTGAATATAATAATAACAAGTAGTAAAGCATAAAAAATAGCCAAAATTAGAATGCAAAAATAAAGAATACCAGGAATAAACGAGGTTCGGTATTGAAACCTACGTCCTCGGGCGCTGCAAAAGAAAACTCCACTATCTCCAAACAATATTACACTTTTGGGCAATACAACAAATACCCAAAACAAAGGGGAGATACAACAAAACTTACAAACAAGGGTCCTTAAAAAGAACCCTAAACAAAAGAGTATAATGGAATTACATCTTGGGATCAATTAACATTGATTTAGGTCCTTATATTAGGCCCCAAAAGTTTCCCACTTTCATTCCTTTTCAATGTGGGACAAACTAACTCATTTGGCCTATTACATATAAGTCCCTAAACCTTTCTCCATTATCACTTCTACCCCATGTGATTTTGCTAAAAGCCATTTTCTCACACAACATAAGGTCCACAATACTTAATAACATCAACACTCGAATAGAGAATTTCTGTAACAGAAAACATTAGACAAATAGATACAAGTAAATGTTTCAGATTGGTTTTCTAGACTATTAGAAGATAAACCAAAGTTTACTTAGATACTCAAAAACAACTAAAAATTAGATTGTCTACATATCAAGCAGAGTGCTTTTTAACCAATATGTAGAATCTGAAACTAGATGCAAGTTGCTACTTAGAATAGGGCATACTTCTCTAATGTCAGAGTAGTATCTTTCTCTGTTGATATGTCCTCTGGCTGAAAAATTTCCGAACTTTACTTTAGTAGATTCAGGAGAAGGAAGTTTTTTAGACTTTGGTACTTCAATCTCAAGTAACTGACAAACAATATATGCCTGCAGGCCACATTTCTCCCACCCTTAATGTTTCCCTTTCCCTATCTTCAGCTGTAAAACAATGAAGTT